ACAAATACCATGCACGCGGTCGTGTCTGTATATGTATATATATATATATATATTTCCACACGTAATTACGATATTTCGTTATGTTTGAAAATTATTGCTATTGTGTTATTACACTTGTTAATTTTAGTAGATATTTTTTATTTGCTTAATGTTGAAAGTTTCATCGAAATATTATATTTACCTCTGAATAGTTTTATTGTTGTTTAATCGTACAAATATGAAATAGATCGTAAACGCGAGTGAAACATTGTTTGTTATTTTGCTTCTTATACTTGATATATTGTTAGAAATAATGGAACATACATTCCTGTAGTGAACGAAAGAAATTCGGAGAATCTAGTCTCGTAATTTCGCACAGCAATAATGTGTTAATAATATTATTGTTTATTACGTTGTTTCACTTATAATTGAATATAACAGAAACATTCCAAGTTAATGGAATAATGATAATTACTGAACATTGGTACCTACATGCAATATAACTAACTTGTCATACTTCATACTATCGTTCGCCGAGGCATTTGTAAAATCTTCAATATATATCGACTGTGACTACGACGTAAAACATAGTTGAAGCAACATTTACAGCTTCCTTCATATTTAAGAACATTTTTTTGTAAATACTTAGCGAATGATTATATTGATAGCGAAAACATCAATGCTATGAAGTTGTGTTTGGGATTTGTGTGAACATTGAGTCTATTTCTAATGATACACGTTAGACAAGTAATAAACTGCTAACATCGACTTACAAGGATACGAGTATCGCTACGCCTATGAACTGTATAAAATGAAAACGCATATTTTTGTATAGTATATTTTGTTTTACGTAGTATTATTTGGCTTCTGTATGCTCCAAATTAAAAGAAGCAAAAAGAAAATTTGAATCGACTGAAAATTCAATATTAAAAGAACACAGTTACTAAATATATTCGAAAATCTAAACGAGGTAATAGAAGAAAAAAAGCGAAGAAAAACAGTTGTATAGGTAGCGATCGCTGTACATTGTCAAATCTGCCTTGCCAAAAAGGAAAACTTTGAAACATTCCTAATCGTAATGTTTTATACTTTTCCTCTTTTTGATGTTTGTACTATTTTGTATTTTTGTGCTTTCAAAAACACATTTTGAAAGTGTGTAGTTATTTTTAGAACTTGTTTGCATAATCGATATATCGAGAGAAATATTAACTGTAATCTACAGTTTATACACAGTTGTAACTTTACAAGCTCATTAATCGTTTTTATTACTCAAATATGTATGTATGTACTTTTGTTACTAAAAGTAATCCAATTATTTTTTATATGAACTGAGTACAGTTTTATTTGAGCTTCTTGCTAACATCAACTATATTTCAGTGCATACATTTTATAATTGAATTAAATACAACTATAAAAGTTGTATTCGATTATTATTAATCAAAATATTTCAAGTACAAATTTCAACATTTCGAAAAGTTATCTGAAAGTTTTGGAGAACTCGCGGAATTATTCTTCGCAATACTTTTTAAATATATGATTTAATGTTTAAACTTATAATGAAAATTATATTCCTTATATGCCTACATTCCAATAAGTTTGATGTACATAGATTATACAAACAGGGTAGGAGCTTTGTAGATGATACAATGAAATGTACAAATACAGGAATACTGAATAAATATTTAACACAATTAATTTTTACTCTTTCTTTTTTCATGTATGTGAACCATAATTTTTATCTATAAAACTAGGTCCGACATGACACACCACTGAACATGATTCATGACAGTACAATTCAATTTCTTATTCACAATTGTTGATATAAACATAAATTTAGTATATACGTTTTTTATGCTCATGAAAAATAGTCCAAAAATGAAATAAAAAATTATAAACATGATTTTCCAGGGGATTCACAGGATGGTAGGAACACAAGACAAACGGTAACTGACATGGTGTTTTTTTTTCTATATCTAATATTTTGCATTTCGGTGACTAAACGTAATGCAGGATTTAATTAATTAATGTGTTTTCGTCATAGGGTATAATTATTTAAAGTACAATAAACAGCCAAGTGAATTTCGAGATCGAGACTGAGTCCAAATTTTTGTATCGCGTAACAATTATCCGAATGGAAGATAGAAAGAAAAAAGACAATATTTAAAAAATAATGTTGCAGTCAAATTAAAAAGTTCGTACTTTCATCCGAACTATAAAATATAAAGTGCGAGTGGATATTGTGTACTTTTAAAGAACTGAATAACGGCGCTTTAAGGTAGCTTTATTGTTAATTGAAACACGCATACGCATTTGACAGAACTATCAATTACACGTAAAGCTACCCTTTTGCAACTTTGAACTGAGATCCATGGTCCACTCAATCTTATTTTTAAACACGAATCTGCTAGAATATCAATTTGTAAACTGCATCCATTTGTTTGCGTAATATGCCTGTGTAGTGTTATTGTGTACATGTGGATGTAGATGTATTCTTTCTTAGCATACCTTAAAATGTATATAAACAAATAAAATCAACCGTGATTTTATATTTAGTCTTCTTTGTCCTCCCTGAAAAAGAGAACAATTTGTTATGATTTTCATACATGTATTATACAAAGAAATGCTAAGAGACACATACTTTACAACTTCTTGTTGTTGTTGATCAAGATGAAGTTCAACAATTGTCTCTGTTCTACTTTGCACTTTAAAAGTGACTTGTGCTGCCAAGTATTTATCTTTGTTATTCACGGACCATCCAGAATACTGTAAAAAAAAAAAAGTATTACAAACGCATAGGGATACAAAGACTAACTTATACAATAGATATATTAGAGCTTACTGTTGATGTGCTTTTGTACAGTGTTTTTCCATCTTCTTTAAAGGGTAAAAATTTTTGAAGTAATGCTTTCCCATCTATCCTCCACAATGTTGGGTCTGTACTTGTACCAATGTCAGCTTTAGCAACAACAAATGCTCCAGACTATATTGCCAATGTAAATAACATAATCTTGTTATTATTTAGGCAGATAAATAAAGATATAAAAATAATAGGTCTTGATGCACAACTCACAGTAAAATCTTTTGGTGTTTCTCCAGATGATTCATTAAAGCTATTATCATCTGAATCCTCTTCATCTTCATCTTCTTTCTCATCTTCCTCTTTTTTTGACCGTCTTTTCCTTTTGGGTTTCTTTCCTGTGTCAGAATCAGATTCTTCGTCTTCTTCTTCATCTTCCTCTTCATCCTCTTCCTCTTCTTCGTCTTCCTCCTCTTCAGAATGTTGTCGTTTTTTAGCAACTTCTCTCTGTGGCCTCTTCTTAGCACCACCCTAAGTAACATTTGCATAAAATTGCAATAACTAATGCTTACTAAACACTAGTAATTGAGAATGTATAAAAATTGGAAAGTTCCGATTTTTATCAGTTACGAATAAAATACATATGTTTAATTCACTAGACTAATTACAATGACACCTTCAACAAATAACGTTAAATTGGACATTATTCGACAAATCGTAAAAATATATTAAAGACTGTAAAGCGTGTACGCGTTTAAAAAGGATTGACGGTTAGCAATTGAACTGTTTTGAAGAATTTATTAGCTGGCGCCACCGACTGACCGGCCGGCAACGATGACTCGCGACAGCGGTAATGCTATCTCCAGGAATAACTGTTTTTCTTGTAAAAATAATACGATCCACCGACGGACTTTTTATCCGCGTTATGAACCATCGAATGCTTATTTCTTTTTTTACAGTAAAATGGAATATTCATAAGATACATTTAGTAGCGATAACACTTTCGAAGACATACTATATATCAGGTAGCGTGCTTGACACGACTTCGACGGCGCTCCGCACAACCAATTCGTGTTTTCTCGTTATCTGTTCGAGTAGACCGATTAAAAATGATTTATACCTAAGAATAACGAAACGCGTATAATTAGGAGAGAGTCGAGAACGTCTTGGACGATAACGGTGATCCTTTATCCAAAACCGTTAAAATCCCTCACTTCAATTTCAATGGAAACGAATAAATGGAGCAACGACTCCGATTGACAGATTTTTAGTAGCAAATAATTGGGTATAAATGTTTTCGTGCGCGATGGAATCTGTATGAGAACCGTAGCCGGAAAATAGGAAATTACGGACAGAATGAAAACATTGGGAAAAATGTTTGAAGTAACAGTAAAACAGGCGAAAATGTTAGTAGCGTGGGCTTACTTCGACCCCGGCCTCAGGAGTCCACTCTTCTTCGGAGGCTCCTTCCATTTCTTCTGGATCGTCTGCAGAGTATTCGTCCTCGTCGGACACGTCCTTGGTCTTCTTCATGTTGCTTTTTCGCGAAATGTTTGCAAACTTTCCCGAGGGACTCACCGAACAAGAAAAAAACTCACGCGACCACGTACAAATCGACCAACTACGTGCGCGACTACCGCAAACAATATGGCGGTATATGGCGGTGGGAATCACCTTTCGCGCATATCCTCCTGCGCAGCCTGGAAGCGACGCGTGCCTCGCGACTTCCCGTGCTCTCGAACGAGCGCGAAATGTACGTTTTTCAAATTTACACGTTTACATGTTTATACAGTGTGTCCCAAAAATGTTGTAACACCTTGAAAGATGTGGTTCGGGAGGTGATTTGAAACGACTTTTTCCTTAGCGAAAATATTGTCCGAGGCTTCGTTGAGGAGATATTAACGGAAAACACTGACCAATCAGAGCGCGAGTATCCCGGTGGAGCGCAGGCTACGCGCTAGGCGGCCGCGCTCATAGGCTACCGCGGCCGTTCCACCGGATTACTCGCGCTCTGATTGGTCAGTGTTTTCCGTTAATATCTCCTAAACAAAGCCTCGGACAACATTTTCGCTAAGGAAAATGTTGTTTCAAATTACCTCCCCAACCACCCCTTTCAAGGACCTCCAACATTTTTGGGACACCGTGTATACATATATATAAATCCGTAGGAGTATTATTGTGTTTATAATCATTTCTCATCGATTGCCAGGACCTGGAGGCTTATTTGATGACACTAGAGCCCAGAAATGTATCTTCAACATTTTTGTATAAATCGAAACAAAAAATATTTTTAATAAGTAATCAAGAAGAGATAAAGTAACAAACGAAGGGTTTCTTTTAACAAACGCGTACTTTTTAAGGAATTTAAGAGTTTATTCTATTAGTTTCGTTAATTAATATCTTTATCGTGTTATTTGTTAATGGAACAAGGGTCGTACGTAATTCTTTTTCGCGATGAATGCGAAAATGCTGAAGACGCGCAGACAAAGTTTTAAAAACGTCAATGAAAATGTTGTTTTGCGAAGCGTAAGCTTTCGACGAATCGCGACTGCGTATCACATCAATGAATTGAATTACACTTCGTAGGTGCGTATGCTTGCGTAACCGAGTATCTTGGTCACAGGAATGTAGTGTCGTTTGATGAATTTTTAAACAAAATTTCGCCGTTTTAGTGTAATTTTTTAGATTTGAAACGTTTCCCCAATATTGGGTCGATACGAGGGTTGACGCATGCGTTAATGCCCCACGACACGAGACGCTCCCTTCAGTATTTACGGTCCTAAGGAACTCTTCGCAGAGGCAACAGAGTGATTCTAAAAAGAAGGGAAACATGTTTGAGCTTTACGGAGTAAATAAAGATGGCATGGTTTATCGGTCACCGCCTCCAAGAAGAAAAGAAGTCGACATATTAGAGGTAATTCACAATCTCAAGTAAATTCTTCGATTATGTTAACTATATCGCTGTATTTTTGATGATTCCACGGCTGTATCATCGATGTTCGCCAGTTGACAAAGCGAACACTGTTAAAGGAGCAGTCGAGAACATTAGGCTGAAAATTCTGATTTCATTCTGTACATATTTATATATATTTTTGTATAGGAAGAAATAATCGGATCAAAACGAAAATTAGCACGCGTATCGAACTTTCAATACGGACTTGAGATATTTTTTGTTTCTTCTAACAACACATTAGTTGCATTTTTTTAAATATTCAAAGTACGATAGAAAAAGAAATCGACCTCGATGGCATTAATCATCTTTTGTTCGTTTCTCAAGACTGTTTTAAAAGCGTGAAAATGAAAAGCATAATGTTTTACGCGCGGAGAAGACTACGACAAGTTTTTGAAATTCAAACCACGCGATGATTCTGGAAACGAGCCAAGTGTACGATCGGAAGTGATTACAAGCGGTGAGGTTCTTTAAAAGAACGAATTGTCCCCTAAGCGTACAAATTTGATGTTTTATAAAATCAGGAATATCGTCATTCAATCGGCATAATGCAATAATAATATCTTTTTAGACTTGCTTGCAGCTATCGTCGCCAGAGCTCATGAGAAAATTGCCTAATGGCGATGCGCTACACCATACAAAGGATTCAGGTGTCTCTACATCCCTCGACAAAGATCCACCGAGGGAAAGCGGTATGTCCCTAACGAATAAGCAAGGTTCAACACGCAAACCTTTATACACTTCATACGTATAGTGCGTGAACCAAATATAGCTTGAAAATTAAAACACGTACAGGGCATGTTAGACTTCTTTTTTTTTATTGAACAACTGTCTGATAGCTGCAAATGCGTGGCCAATAACTTCGAGTTAAACGTAACTGTTTCTTTTGTAAAGTTCTACGATAATACAGAATTCGTGTACGGCAAATATTCTTCAGAGATCGCTATATTTCTCCACGCGCTATGGATACACACCAGTCACGATCAGAGATAAACAAAATTTGATTGAAGTAATAGACGACGTGAATTCAATGAACAGTGACATTTCTACTTGTTCAACGTGTGTTGAATAAAAACCCGATCATCATTTAAAATTTGGCCCATCTCTGGCCAAAAAAATATATATCGACCGTGCGCGCATGTTAAATTTTTTCGGTCGTTTCTGCGCAGAAATATTCGAGTAATTTCTTTGAATCGAAATAATTCACGTCTCTATAAAGAGGAATAGTCGCGCTAAGCTGTTTCATTTCGCTTCCGGCCAACCTATCGCCACCGATTAATCGCTTTTCTCCCTTTTCTCTAATTTCGCACATCGGTGAACTTGCTCCGCAACCGTGACTTTTGCCCGCGCGAAAAGTGAGACGAGCAGACTGCAGAAGCGTTCCACGAGCGAGATTAGATACGATTTCCATTCGATTCACGGATCGACGAGCTCGTTTGACGCGGTCAGGACCGAATTAAAAGAAAAATAAACACGCAATCGTTACTTATCGATACGTTTTCGAATAGAAATTATTCGAAAAGTCTTCGTGGACCGCTAAACTATGCGAACTCGTATCTCAATTCGGTCCTGACTGCGTTACAAAAATCGAGACGACCGGGACACGTACCGGTGTACGACGACGGTTTCGCCACGAGTGATTTCGCCAGTCGATGAAAGGGGAAATGATCTCCGATCGAGAAATTCGAAATCGTCTGACCGTTTCCGAGAGAAATTCTCCGAAAGAGGATAGAGAAATTCGTAGAACAAAAACGTCAATTACACACCGAAAGATCTGAATTGCGAATTGAATTGGCCTATACGTACGATGCAGGACGAAGTATGCTGAGAAGGTGGATAGTGATGGCAGGTTTCTTATTCCTCGGATGTGCCTTGGTCGCCGGTGTAGGATTACCTTTAGCTTTAGAACTGCGAAGCTCGCACTTGTTGGAAGTTAGGCTTCAAGTTGTGCACCGAATGCTCTCCGAGATTCCTCTCGTCGATGGGTAACCGTCATTTTGTAAATTAGATCGTTTCGAACGACCCTACTCCGTACGTTAGGCACGCCCAACTGACCTGTGACGAGCAGGAGCGATCCGCAGCCGTGAGAGCGAACACCGTGGAAAAGACGTGTCTTTGTTTCCAAAGAGAGCTCGCACAGCCACCGAGTTGGACATGCCTGCCGTACGCGATCGTCGAATTATTCGGCTAAACTTGGCTCCATCTTTCAGGCACAACGATTTCGCGTGGAACCTCCGGAAGCATCGAGGAAACACAAAGTTGCAAGACTTTCCGTTCGACGAGGACTTGTCGCGAAACGAGAGCTGGGGTCCTCGGTGGCAAACCGACTTGGTACGGTTGCGACAAGGTATCGTGGGCGGACAATTCTGGTCCGTGTACGTTCCGTGCGAGGCGCAATTCCTCGACGCGGTACAGCTCACCCTGGAGCAGATTGACGTGGTGCGTAGACTCGCGTCGAGGTACCCGAAGAGAATAAGACTGGTGACGAGCAGCAAGGAGCTCGAGAAAGCGCACAAGGACGGCGTGATTGGGAGTCTGGTAGGAATCGAGGGTGGTCACAGCATAGGCACCTCCATGGCGGTCTTGAGGAGCTTTCATCGACTAGGAGCGAGATATATGACTCTCACGCATAAGTGCAACACTCCTTGGTAAGTGTCGATGCTGTCTCGCGCATCGTTGATGGTACAAAGGACAGAGACAATCGATTTCCTGTTCCCAGGGCGGATTCGTGTACGGTAGAAGATCCAAACTCGGACGCGTCGCTGGGTTTTCACAGTGGCGGGCTGTCAATGTTCGGCAAAGCTGTCGTTAAGGAGCTGAATCGATTGGGGATGCTCGTGGATTTGTCTCACGTTTCGTTGAGAACCATGAGAGACGCTCTGGCGACGACCAAAACCCCGGTGATATTTTCTCATAGCGCGGCCAAAGCTCTCTGTAATTCGTCCAGCAACGTTCCAGACGACGTGCTTCGCAACTTGGTAAGAAAAGAAAGCGAACCAATGAATCATTTCATCGATTTTCTTTAATACTTTCCTCGATCTTTCGTCCTCGAGATCGTTCGATATACGCGACGGTGAATCGCCACAGACAGAAATCTAAACCATTTACTTATGTTCGATTGTGCGTTTTCCCCTCCTCTTAATTAACGATAATTTATCAATGTGAGTAACTTTTTTGTAAGAAAATTACACGATACGAGTGACCTTTGATATTTGGAATTTCTTTCGACGTCTCGGTCAAAGCAACGATGCCATAGGTTTCAGCCTCAGACGAGCCATCTTGTATATCATTCGTTTACCGATAAATCAGTCGATTTTTATCACTTTTTTTTTACAGTCTGTGAACGGTGGTCTGGTCATGGTCAGCTTCGACAGCGCGCATTTGAACTGCGGTGATAGAGCCTCCATATACGACGTCATAGGTATGCGTAACGAGTGAACTTTATAGTATACTATGTTACACATGTTATCAAAGTAGAAATTTTCTACGCTGCTCGAAACGCATAGAAAAAGATGGACGAACGTTTTTGCGACGAACCACCCGTATGCTTGTCTCTTTGCAGCTCACATCAATCATATACGACGAATAGCTGGTGTTAATCATGTGGGTCTAGGCGCTGGCTACGACGGTATACTAAGGTTGGTGGAGTGATTTAACGTTCGTAATTTATTTTAGCGAACTTCATCTCTTACTCAAGTGTTTCTCAAACCGTATGTATTTACAGTGATATCCTTTGCAAATATGAGTCTCCTTTCTCAAAAGGAAAAGGTGACTGACAAGGTTTGGGAAACGCTGTCTCGCGCGATACACGATGATCTAATATTCGCCTATCTTTAGTCCGCCGGTCGAACTTCCGGACGTTTCCGGTTACCCTCTGTTGTTGGCGGAATTGACGAGGGATCGAAGATGGTCGGCCTCGGATATCAAGAAATTGGTCGGTGGAAATCTGTTGAGAATCTTTAAGGAAGTAGAAAGTTACGCGGCGACGATGTCGCATCAATTGCCAGCCGAAGAGCTGATCCCTCAGGAGCTGATCAAGGATACCAATTACTGTAGATACCACGATTCGTAAAGCCGACGTTCTTCGTGTACAGTTTCATCTTTATACCTGGATTACTCTGTTTTACATTTTTAATAAAGTAGTCACGGATTCTTTTACCGTTTTCTTCCCATGCCCAGCGGAGAAGGTTCGTTCGTACCAGTCGAGACGAGAAGGTACGCGATTGCTTTTGCGAACGAAATAGATCCTGCCAGTTGAGTCAATTTACATTGTTATCGACGGTGCCGTCTACGCGGAATGTGTGTCGAAGCAATTATTTAATTTCATATCAGTCGCACTGCGGTTAACGAGCGCAGACAAATCGAGTCAGTTGCCTTGCTTAGCTTAACTGGTTAACGTTCACCTTTTTCAGGTTGACGGTGGAAAATACTTTGTAATCCGACAAATTGCCACGATCTGGTCGTGATCATTGCGTAACTCTGAAAATCAAGAAAAAACTGATTGGAGTTGATTGCCATCTTACAGACTAATTGGTAGGATTGCGAAGGGTTACTTGAATTCTTATAGGTTGTACGCGAGTCTTCCGGGAACTTGTATCGTTTTTCGAGTTCTCGGTAATTAGATATTAGTACAATTGTTGTTTCGAACCGCGTTGATTATTATCTCGAACGAGGAAATTTCGAGATGCGATAGGAGCCTGTTTCAGCTTTGCTAAAGTGCACCATTATTTTTCCTCTTTTTGTCGATAACGCGTTCGTGTAAACTTTGTACTAGATATCACTTTTAGAGCAACTCGATATTTCTATCCGTTGACGACTTCTTATTTTTAGAAGGTTGGCATTTATCTACAAAGACCGTTGATCGCAAATGGTGACCGTAACCAATTAACTCGTAAGCAGTCATTGCGATTGTAGAAGACTTTAGGAGGGAATTGCCGATCCCATTTATGAAATTTGCATGATTATGAAATCATCGCATCTTTTTATGCAATCACCTTGGCAAATTTAAATTTAGATACAACTATTTATCTTTCTGGCTATCTCGACTGAAGAGTTCGTATCGTCATGTCGCCACGCTTATTAAACCAAGACCCGAAAGAAAATTTTTGTTTTTAATTATATAGTGAAAACACGACAGGAGTACGCAATTCGCCAGCGCGACCTCGCGTTTACGATAAAGCGGACAGAATCGTAGACCAGACGTGCGCTGAACGCGGGGATTCGACCGAAAGTGATTCGTTGATCTCGTCCAACTGACGAAGGAACAGTGCGTAACGAGTTCATCGAATCAAAGAGGCCAAGATAAAGTGCAATCAAAATCCTCGAGTTGGGACAGATTACGATTCGTACCGTGCCGGGCGCGGTAGCGAGGCAAGCGATGTTTCTACGTCGGTTGCGTCGCGACGAATGCCGAATACAACTAAATCCATCGGCTTTTAAATATTAATGGCCGAGCATCGACGAATATCAACGATATTCACCGATCGTCCCCCGACTCCAGGAATGTACACGCTTGCGTGAAAGCCTTACCCATAATCGTAACGAAAAGTCCTAAGATGGTCCCTGAAAACAATAACAGCAGCTACTATTATCTTATTTTCAAATTGGACAAGAACATACAAACGCGACGCGACGGTACAAAACACAACAAAAGAAAAGAGGAAAAAGAGGATAGGAAAACAATGATAATCGTTTATGCGAAGCGCGCAGCGAGGATCGTTTGGATTCCTGCGATGAGTCGCGGTAAAGATCGATAGGATCGTTCTAATCGTTAGTAAACAGATTCGTACGATTAGTACGATTACATTAACAACGCAACGTGCGTTGCGTTCTGGACGTAGGACTTTATTTTAAAATCCTAGCAGGAAAAAGTAATTCAATTTGTCACGGGATTTTTCCCGTGTCGCATTGTGCAACTTCTAATCTGTACAAGGAAAAATATATAATCTCGAACAATGCAAAGTGTAAATGTTTTGAAAAGAATAAACATGATTTTTTATATAAAACGCAACGTGTTTCGCAACGAAAAAATATTTGAAACACGCGTAATGATTATTATTTTAAGAAATGAAATATTTTCCTTGCGTTTAGCGTGTTAATAGAGATGGCAAAGGACGGGACAAGTATGCGACAACGAAGAGAGGAAAAATATGACTAAAGAAGAACAAAGACAAGTTCATCGTCGGCCGTTCCTGGTCGGTTGTATGGCGGTATCGTGGCGCGGAAGTGGTAGGGGATTCGAAGATTACACTTGCTGGTTCGCAAGCCGAAACATCAGTTTAGTTTACTATCGGTTCCGTGTCGCATCCTTCCAGGGGATTCAGAAGCGTGGATGCGCGGAGTAAAAATCGTGACGCGACAGAACCAACGAATCCGCAGGAAAAAATATCATTGAAGTCTCGTAATTATCGCGCGAGGCAGCGTCCTTTTCTTTCTCGATTAAGATCTCGTTTGTCGACGCTTCGACGGACATTGGAACTTAATTGTTTAATATGCGAATTTAACGTAGACCACAGACACCGACGGCAGGTAAGCATGGTATTTCATTTATTTTTCCAATACTTTCGAAAAAATACAGATTAAAGCGGTTATCGAGAAAACGTATCGGATATTAAGAAAGGGAGATAGGTCCAACTGTTTTATACTCTGGCAAAAGTTTGGAGATCGAAAGGAAAAGTGGACGATATAGAAAGACAACCACGGATGATAGACGGGTGGTTAAGTCAGCGGGCACGTGTCTCGCGTAGATACTTGGCCAACATTTCGTTTACTTCGCAGCGTACGTTCAGTGAACTGTAATCCCGCGGAAAGTGAGACAGAATCCTGTAAAAATAGCCGTGGCTAATTTCGAACCGCGTAGACCGATGTATGCTTTTTGACGGGTGATGAACACGCTTAACTTTTTCGGCAAACATTTTTTACCGCGACAAAACTATACGCAGTCGAATTTTACGCACGGCCTAGCCTTCGATACCAATATGTATACATTTTGGCAAACGATCAACGGATACGTCGAAGATCCTAACGAGTCGTCTATGCAATTTGCGCGATGTACGATTGCTGTCGATGCATCAAACCGGAGACGTTCGATTTTTGAAAGCATGTGTTTTCTTAAAACATTTATAAGCACGTTACGGTAATTTAGTACGCTACGATTGTATGGAAATACTAGTATTTTTAGCAAAAGTATTCTCGAAAACGATTGATTTTCCAAAAGTACGTCACACTCCCCTATAAATTCCTATTACAGTCGTTTCTCAAAAAGGATAACGGTCCGTTGTCCAAGAAGGAAACGGCCAAGGTGGCGAGAACGAAAAAGGACACGCAGATATTTCATCGGTTCGAAATGAATTGTCGTTTGGATTCGTGATGGACGTATGGCGACGTCGAGGCAAATTATGTTCAGCGTCGAAGCATGGAACGTTTCTGTCAATAATTCTTTGTTTCAGAGCAACGAGCGGAAGTCGGGGAAACGGAAAAGACAAAGGAGACCAGAAGATGAGATACAAGGTGAACGCGAAGGATGAGACGCTCCTCGATTGTATTTTTCATTCGCGGCCACGAACATGCACCGTCGCGACCTCGAATGTGTCGCGAGGAACAAGAATAATCAGGATCATCGTGACATTGCTCGTCCCGTCCCCGCGATATTCTTACCAGCGAGTCATTGAGCTTTTCTTTCTCTCTTCGTTTGTCTCGCGGGCATATATCGATTTGCATAAAACATAAGCCGCATAGAGGCGACGATGCAACGCCTTCGTTTGTTCACCGACGAGTCTCATTGTCATTGGGAAGATGGTGAGTCCTTGTTATCGAGGCGTGCATCGCTATTGCCATGAGTAGGAATTATTATGATGATTATTATTATTGGAACATCTTTATCTTGCTTACAAAGCGACGTCTTGGAAGGTGTGCATCTCACAGTTACGTTTCGTGAAAGATGGAAAAAAGTGGATAGCCGCGGCTCGATGAAGGATAGCTGCGTTAACTATGCGATCGGAACCGTGACGACTCGCACCGCGAATAGAATCGACGATCACGTTCACGGTCAATATCGGCTAACTCCTTTCCAAGCTCTTAGACCGATGTATTTATACCTTTTCGTTCGTCACGAAGGATGCCGTGTCTTCGCGCGGAGAATCTTTGTTGGGGATTAACTTCGTGCAAACTTTGTTGTATAACTCGTAAGCGCAGCGAGTACAATATATACATATGTACACATCGGTTTATTGCACAACGCAAATTATCTACTATGGTGTTGCGTGCATTAGGCATGCCTAAGCGAAGATCGGCACGAAGATTGAATAGGTTCGGTAGGAAGTGGAGCGTGGACAGAGGCCCGTCCTTCTCGATTTTACTGCTCCGACTGGATCGGTTCGAGAAATTGAAGTCGCTGGCAAAATAGTCGCTCGAGCTTGACACGAATTCGCGGTCCGTCGAATACTTGAAATGGAATTGCACCGCGAGAATAATAAAAATAATCGTGTCGACTACTGGGTCGGAGATTCAAAGGATCGTCCTGTCTTGAATGTCTGAAGGTGTACGAAGCACTTGTGCGGAATATCATTTGCAAATTGAAAGAGACTAGGAGAAAAGATTGCATCAAAGACGCAACGATTCATACCGATTCCCTAATGTATCAGTGCCAGGCTAAGCGATCATCGATAAAGAAGTCGTTCTATTCGTAGAGGGCACACAACGTTGAAGCTGTGTTGTGGCGCGTTCGTGGTTTGCGTCTTGTCGTATTGCACGTGTAGTCACTTTTTAAGCTGCCGTACGCAGGCAGCTTCCCGCAACCTACATTTTCCAGGCCAAGGCTGAAATGGATTCGTTCGTTCCATTAACCCTTCAACTCGTCCTTCGATCCGACGACGGTTCTATGCGCGAAAACATAGCGATCTCTGCTCTAGCGATAGGATCAAGTTCAATTTGTACTCGTGAGTACGAATCAGTTCCAATACCAGATGCGATTGGCCATGAACTCGCGGAACCTTAGCTTTCGGACCCCCAAGGAACTCCTCGCGCGTTCATTTTTTAATCGAATTACCATTCCAAGGTAGATTGATGCTTGATCTCGTCGCTAGTATTCTCGCGAAACGATCGATTCGACAATTTTGGCAAACGTGATGAGAGAAGGACGAAGGATCAAGGATGCCTCGAGACCGAGGGCAGGATATTGGGCGCGAGGAGAATAATGCCGAGGTAATTCCAACGATTCTGGAGCAAGGTGAAATGATCGATCGTGTAAACGGGCAGAGGATAAACCGGCGAATTCGATTAGATCGATTAGAACTTATCCGCGATGCAATTATCGAAGAGAGAAAAAGAACATGGTCGAATGACAGATATCACGACCCGAAACCGACCCCTTGCGTTTCTCGTTTTGTCGCATTTTCGCTGCGTGCGTAACGATGATCCCTGATACGACCAACATCGCGAACTTTGATCCCTTGACACTTAACTGTCACGACAGTTTTCCGTGTCTAGAGAAGTCCTCGATATTTGTTCAAATTATGGCGCGAAGATGGTGTCTTTGATACTCCATAGCGCGAAAGTTTACACAGCATTGTTTGAGGCGAGGATCTACTTACCGTAAATGAAGACGTATCTCTCGTTTTCGCCAGGTAACCGACCCGGAGGACTATGGAAGAAATGAGCCAGAAGAAACGAGGGAAAACTCGATGGTTTCGAGGTAATCAGCAGCATTGTCATGAATTCTTGTAGAAAAAAAAAATGCGTATACAGAGTTTGTCACAGAAGAGATGCGAGGTAGAAGCTATTTACCTAGAGTTCTACTTATCAGAAAAGAATATACACGTAAGCATACCGACGATAGTACAAAGGAAAGACCATTGCCCTCGAACAGCAGGTGGGTATCTAGCTTGCATGTGCTCGCGAAAATGTTGATACAAGATATGGAGGTCGTTGTCCGTCTGACGTGTAGAAAAATTGGTAGAAAGCCTGCTGAGACGGTGTCGAACCATAATGGCTAATGGAGGTGATTGGACCCATTATTAAGTAAGTGCGTAATAGCTTTTTAACCTTTTCACTGCTGATTAATCAGTGGTAGGAAAAGCTCTGTGCCGAGTTAACTTTACGATTCAATTCTTAATAATCGCACTTGTAAATACACGTGAGGGTTAAATAAGGAGGTCAACGAGGTAGCTTAATCTTTTTGGAAGATATCGTGGATCTTTCTGTGTAAGATCTTTCTGTGACAAATGGTAGAGGCATGTAAACAAACGAGGAAACGGAATACTCTACGCGGAGTATTCTTTTAACAAAAGCTACTTTGTCATCCATGCTTCTTCCGATTGATTCGAACAGGCAGCAGGTTCGGAGGGAGGGAAAGGAATTGGGCGGAAAGGAGACGAAACTGGTGATAATCGTGGGCTTGTTGACGGTGACCGTGGTTGCCTTGGTCGTAACGCTAACTTTACAGATAGCAGTGTTCCGTCGGGAAGAGTACAAAGAGATGTGCCAAAGCGAGGAGTGCGTAAAGACAGGTACCGTACTTGCGTAAAACCAAGGTCATCCTATTTTTCTCCTCGATTAACCTTGCGGCGCGATTAAATGGAAATGTTCGGTATCAATTTTACGCCCATTTGCATAATGATAATTCATTATCGCGTAAATACTGCAGGCCTCCACGATGACGAACGACCATCGACGATCGCTTGACAATTTGTTTACCTTTCCAGCCGCGAGGATAATAGAGGCGATGAACAGGTCCGTAGATCCTTGCGATGATTTTTACAAATTCGCCTGCGGCGGTTGGATCACGAAGAACCCCATACCCCAGAGCCAAACTTCCTGGGACCAATTGAGCCTTCTGAGAGAGGAGCTCCTGAAGAATCTAAGGATCCTGCTCGAGGAGCCCGACAACGAGGACGATCCGAAACCGGTCAAGATGGCCAGGGCTTTGTACAGAACTTGCTTGGACACTGGTAAGAAACGTCGACGAAATTAAAAAATCGTGTCATCGCTTTTAAGAAGAATCGAATAAATGATCTCGATTTTTTCAGCAAGCGTCGAAGCATTGGGATTGAAACCGGTCCACGATACCTTGGCCAGACTCGGTTTGCCAGAAGATCCACCATCGCGAAGCAACGCGTCGCCTATGGATCCATCGGAGATCGCTGGAAAGACGCAAAGAGTCCTGGGCTTGGATCTGTTTCTAAAATTCTACATCAGCGAGGATGTTCGCGACACGTCGAGGAACAGGATGATGGTAGATCGTCAAATACGTCAGATTAAATCTCTATCGCGCGGATCCGGAAATATTATCGTTCTTGTAGATGGAACAAGCGTCTCCTGGATTCAGCGAGCGCTATCTTCTCGATCCGCAACGTTTCCGATCGGAATTGAGCGAGTACAAGAAGTACATCAAAGCCATGGTCGAGCTGGCTGGCGCCGGGAACAAAAGTCTCAGCTTTGCCACTGAAATATTGGATTTTAGTACGAAAATCGCTAAGGTGGGTAATCGTCCGCGGTACGCTCGACTTTTGTGCACGCGTACATAGGTATGTACACACATATTCGGAATGGGACATTTAAACGGGGACACTTCTTTACAGTCGTACGAGAAAACTCTTTACGACAAAGGCACGCTACACTAATTTCAGTCTTGATGTAGTCTCTTGATGTAGCTTGTCCCTTTGTCATAAAAAGTTCTTTCGTACGGTCAGAAAATACTGGGATACTTGGGTGTTCCTATTTGAATGTCTCGCTCTGTACAAATATGTATACAAGTATTTCAGACGAGTGTCAAACATTTTTCACGCTATTATGCAGATTATGGCGACACCGGAGCAAAGACGCAGCGCTAATCATGTCTTCCACGACGTGACGATCGACGAATTGCAACAACTTACGGACTTGCACGCGCAACAGGTAAATACAGCGGAAGAATAGAATGGAAGATACTATCGAGCCTAACGAATGTTAATAAACAAGACTTCTTTTTTCTACTGTTTCAGTGGAACTGGACAAAGTACGTAGAAGGTGTGTTCAACGATACGAACGCGACGATTAACACCGGCCTCGACCGTGTGATCGTAATGGATCTACGCTATTTACAGGAATTACCTGAACTGCTTGCGATCACGCCACCCGCTACCGTGGGTACGTACCATCTATCCATCATAATATTTTGAGAAAACCGCATTAGTCGAGCACGATATCTTTTGATTGCTAACCGACTTGCGATAAAAGCAATGCGGTTCAATGACATCTTTCAACCTTATCTATCGACAGATACTCACAATGAAACATCTCTTTAAGGAGCGCCTTTGCAAACACCGTCGTCAGATTTTTCTAGTTCGTGTTATACAAGACTGTTAGATAACACGAGTAACTGAATTTTTCAATTAGATTTACATCAAGATATAATTGTAACAAACGTACTTATAATTCCAGGCTATTAAGTTTAATACCGAGTCTTCAAATATATATAATCTTTTGTGTAATTCTTTCAATTGCTAGAGGCATTCTGCTTTAAAGAGCACTTAATGTTTATTCGTAACGTTTCAGGGCGGTACGTATGGTGGAGCATCTACTCGACGATCGCCCCGTTAACGTTGCAACGATTTCGCGACCTAGGCTTCCAGTTCTCGCAAAAGGTTCTCGGTCTGAAGGAGAAGACCCCGAGATGGAAAGCCTGCACTGGGAACGCGAACGCGAATTTCGGGATGGCTGTCAGTTATGTTTACGCGCAGAAGCATTTCAACGATCGAGCTCGCGAAAAGGTACGGTCAAACTGATCACTTTTGTATTTCGACGTCGGAGCCAATTTAAGTTTTCGGTAAAATCAATTTTCAGGCACTGGAGATGCTGTTGGATATTAAGGCCGCGTTCGACGAGATGGTGTCTGAGTTAGACTGGATGGATGCTAGCACGAGAGCTAGAGCGCACCGGAAATTGGAAGCCATGAGACCCTACGTGGGGATTCCCGATTGGATTACCAACGTCACGAAGCTGGAAAAATATTACGAAGGGGTGAGCTGTCCAAGTAAATTTTTCACTCGTTTCAACTTTGAACTATACGTCGAACGAATGTTATATTTTGCAGATGGATATCGTCCCTGGAAGATTATTCGACTCGTTTCTGAAGCTGACCGACGCGGGTATGAAGAAAAGTTTGAATGCCTTGAGGAAGAAACCAGACAAAAATCGATGGATATCGACGGGCACGGCGGTGAACGCGTTTTATAGCGCGATATTAAACTCAGTTAGTAAGTATTGAAAATACTTGGACAGAATTCCCTCGTTCTATTGCTACAAGATTATATTGACTTGCAGCTTTTCCTGCTGGCATTCTGCATCCCCCATTCTATGGCAACGGGCTAGAGTACGTATAAATCGTTACCATCGTGCGCACGCCATGTTGGAAGATTCAAAATAACGCATAGATTTCATTGAATACTGATAAAAATCACTATATCTTTCGTCTGTTCACACAACATTTTTATTATCAATTGTACAGTTCACGAGATATAAAATAGAAAGTCTTCGTTTCGAGTTGTATTGTATCATCTGAAGGATAAATATGACGATTATGGTTAAGAACTATGAGTATTCTACATCTCCGACCTGGTGTAACTCTTTGAAGGTTTACACTTCCGATTGAATGTTTCTAACGTTACGCGTGGTACAGGTCCATAAACTACGGTGCCATGGGCGCTATTATGGGTCACGAACTTACTCACGGATTCGACGATCAAGGTATCCGTTCGACGTTTTAGTCGTCGATAGTTAATACAAAATTATAAAGCTTTCGCGGGTTAATCATAATTCACATAGACTTCCGATTACATGATTTTTTCTCCTAAGGTCGCAGATACGACGAGACCGGGAATTTGAGGCAATGGTGGAGTGCCGAAACATTGCAACATTACCTCAAGAAAGTCGAGTGTATGATCAAACAGTACAGTAACTATCACTTGCCAGAGTTGGGCGATAATTTCACGGTGAGTGTAATTACGTTTCTTATAAGGAACGAGACGAATATACATGTGTGCCAAGGTAGGCATCAATATGATACCACGACGAGCAAATATTTTCATTCTTATCTTTTGTTTAGATTAACGGCATTAACACGCAGGGAGAAAACATAGCCGATAATGGCGGCATACGGGAAGCGTACAGAGCGTATAAACGATTAGAAGCGAGAAATGGCGGTGAACGAGTTCTACCTGGTCTCGTGGGATATAGTCACGAACAATTGTTCTTCGTGGGTTTCGCCCAAGTAAGCTTTCGTATGACAAATATTAACGACACAAGGTAAACGATGAAACGAAATTATGTATATTTATTGTACAGGTCTGGTGTGGTAATTATACGAACGGCGCGCTAAAATCTAAACTGGTGGAAGGAGTTCACGCACCTAATCACTTCAGAGTGATCGGAACTCTATCGAACAACGAAGAGTTTGCGACTGCTTGGAGCTGTCCTGTCGGAAGTCCCATGAACCCACCTCATAAGTGTATATTGTGGTAAATTACGCGAATGAACGCCGCGCGTAAAAAACTCAAACAAACTTTTGTTGATTTCGGTGATCATCCGTGTACACGTTACAGCTGTAGCGGTAAAGTTACATTAAGACTGATTCGTAGGTACTAGCGTGTAACCTAGAATACGTTTAGATCATATTTTTTAGCAGAAATAACGATCTGTAAATATTATACAGAATGAGAATAAAATTTTTTAAATTTACTCAGTGTTATAATTGTCTAGCTTCAATGCTTCTTCTTCTTCGTCGGAATTGCGTCAGGTTCGTTAAGAGTTGCTTTCTTTTTTTTCTTTTTGGGACGGACTCCGTCGTTTCTTTCCAATCGTTTTATTTTCTTTTTCGGTATCTTAACAATTACATTATCCGCCTCCGAAACATTATCACAGGGTTGATTGTGCTCGCTTTCTAAAGTTACAGCGCTTCTCTTTCTCTTTTTTTTAGGATTGTCATTCGTATCTTCCTCGTACGACGATTTCTTCTTTTTCTTTGGGATGGTTTCGACTACATCTTCCTCTCGTTTCTTCTTCTTCAAAATCGTTTTGGACTTTTTCTTATCTGGAACGTTTGAGACTTGTACTTCTTCCATCCGTCTTTTTTTCTTCGATTTCTTTCCCATCGATAGTTGGGGATCGTTGACCGGTGTTATCTCCCAATCACCTTCTTTTTCGATGACGACCTCATGGCGAAGTCGAAATTTCTTTTCCTGTATTACTTCTTCTTCCTCTTCGGACTTCACTTCTTCGTCGTAGTTAAGATTTTTATATGGCATCGCGAGAGTCAAGCAAGTGATTCTAGCGCCACAATTAACGCTTTGTAATATGTGTAATTTATGTTTATTGTATCTCCAAACTTTAATTTCGCCGGAACTGGAAGCGGTAACTAACAAGTCGTCCTTAAAAGCCATACATTTAACTCTAATGTCGTGCGCTATCGCGTCTATAGTTTGCACGGATTTTTCGAGATCGTAAAATTTGATCCGACCATTCTCTAACCCAACGGCGATTAAATTGTCTCTTAAAAATTCCACGCATACAATCTTCGAGTCAAACTGAATTTCGCTGTCGATACCAGCGAATTGTACAGAATACACATCTATTCTTTGGTTAGCAGCCAACAAGTATTTTTCGCCGTTTGGACTCCATTTTAAAACGGTAACATTGCGAGCATCTAGCTTTAGTCTGGGCACCAAATTTGTGGCGTATGCTTGTCTCCCTTTTACTAGGTTCCAAGTTCTAAGTATACCATCGGCTCCAGTGGACAGTGCTATTTTACCAGTAGGATGAATAGCAAACGTATTTACAGCTAAACCTTTATGAGGTTTTAGCCAATGTTTCTCCATTTGCCAATTGCCACAATGAATGGCAGCTATAGTGCCATCGTTGCTGCATGTAAACATATGAGATGCATCAGGAGTAAACGTAATGCAATTTACGGTATCTGTATGAAAAGTATGGTTTACTGTATTACAAATAAAATATACAGATAAATGTGAAAGTTTGTACTTACCATTGTGATGGACTAATTTACCAGACTCCGTTCTGTAACGCATATCGTATAAACAGATGGAATCGTCTGCTCCACCTGAAGCCAAATAATGTTTATTAGTCGCGATACTACGTACACTGGCGACATGGCTATGCGTCGCAAAGGTCCTGTCCACTTTGTATTCCTGAAAATTAAAAAGCACGTTTTCAGGTTAGAATGTAAAACAACTTTACGCGGGGAACCTTGTTTCAACTTTTTTGCCCTTACGTTTTATTTTCGCTTTCTGACATGATAAGTAAAGTTATCGAATGAAAAAATAAACGAAAATATGGCAAGAAACCTGATCTACAAAATCCCAACTAGAACATTCCACACTTACGTTAACGATATTGTTGACTTTGTAGCCAAGTAAGTATTGCTCGTATGTTCCCACAATTATTTCAAATGGATCTGACATGTCTTCGTCTAAACGTACCATCGTGAGCAAACTTTTTAGTCAATTACGAGTCGTAATTAACGACACAAATACTTTTGGCACGTGTTCGCAATCGGTTTGACATGTAACTGCGTAACTGTACTGTTCCGCCGGCTGCCGGTAACGAAACGGATATAATTAAGACGCGGTAAACACGTCACACGATAGTTTCGAATATCTGATCTAAATTTTTCACGAACGGATGAATAAAACAATAGAACACTAGAACACAGAACAATAGAAATTAATAAACGTGAAGAAGAATGAAGTAGAAGATAAAATAGAAACGACCGATCAGCTACGGGTCACTGTGTTGTACTGTGTCTAACTATATTGACCAGAGCCAGAGGGCCAAGAAGGAAATTTCCAGTCGTTTCCAGTTGCTTCTTTTATGACATTGCAAGGGTATAGAATTAACGAAAATTAATGTTACATTGGATGTATATATGTACAAATAAACGAAGATTGACAATTATCGAGTACACCTCTCCTCTTTGGCCAACAGATCCGCTAGCTGAATTTAGTAGCTTCTAGAAGTTTCTTTATTTGTTAACAAAAGAAAATCGTAATTTAGAATAAGATTTTCAAACTTCTGGATAATTAAATGAAACTCTACTATCCCCTTTAGATCCAATTTAGAAATGAAAAACAACAAAGAGGCAAAATACTGCATCTTTACTATGTCCCCAATAAAGATGTTCAGTAATTGCTCGTATCGATAAATTTACGTTATCTAATAATACATTTGTTTTTTACGGACGCGTATCAAATTTCATACAGCGTTGATGAGATAATGCCTATGTACTCGAATCTTTATGTAATATGATAAAAGGAACACCACTGATACTTTAGTCTCGCCAAAACTTTACTCGTTATTTCTTGTTTAACGCTTCGTGCAAATTGTTACCAAACGTACCGGCTAAACGCGTGTAAACAAAATTTGTATAAAAAATGGATATTACAATCACGGATATCGATGCGAAAGATATTAGATTTCCAACATCGTTGTTAGCAGATGGAAGCGATGCTATGGTATGTGAATCGTTGAATATGTAGCAAATTAAAATATGTTTTCTTTGTTCCAAAAAGAGGTAAAACATTATTAGAATTGTTTGTATTATCGAGTTGTGTTATTTACGGAATTTTATTGAATTATAGCACACCGATCCCGATTATTCTTGTGCGTACGTAACAATAAAGACTAACAAGGACATCGAAGGATACGGACTAACATTTACTTTGGGTAGAGGGACGGAAATTGGTACATAATTATTGATCTATGCCTCGAGAAGCTTAATTATCAATATTAACGAACGTTTTCCAAAAATCTCTTTAGTCGTTCAAGCATGCAGATCAATGTCGTACTTGGTACAAGGTCAAAATGTTAATAACATTTTTGAAAACTTCGGATCCTTTTGGAGGAGATTGACTAGCGAGTCGCAGCTGAGATGGGTAATACATAATAGCACAAATTTTTTCGTACGTTGATTTCTGTTTTCAATACGTATAAAAAACGTTACAAAGCGTAGATCGGACCGGAAAAAGGTGTAACTCATCTCGCCACAGCGGCTATAATAAACGCATTGTGGGATTTGTGGGCGCGAATTGAGAATAAACCTGTTTGGAAATTGCTGGTCGATTTAACTCCCGAGCAATTAGTTTCTGCGATAGATTTCAGATACATGTAAGTTACCGTGAGGTTGACATTTACCGAGGTAAGCCTCAAATATTTTATTAAATAAATATGATACTCATAACATTTTTCTTTTGTGTAGTACCGACGTTATCACAAAGGAAGAAGCGTTACAGATGCTTAAGGATAACGAAGGAGGAAAGGCGGAACGTGAAAAATTTTTACAAAAGAACGGATATCCAGCGTACACGACGCAAGTCGGTTGGCTTGGATACAGCGACGAGAAAGTTAAAAGTCTTTGCAAAAAGTTTCTAGACCTTGGCTTTACATCCTTCAAGGCAAAGGTTGGTCAGAACTTGAAGGACGACATAAAGAGATGCCAATTGATACGCGACATGATAGGATACGAAAACAAGTTGATGCTGGATGCGAATCAGATTTGGGATGTCGACGAATCGATAGAGTGGGTGAAACAGCTATTGAAGTTTAAACCAACGTGGATCGAAGAACCGACATCTCCGGATGATGTGTTAGGTCACGCTAAGATCGCTAATGAATTAAAACCGTACGGCGTCGGTGTCGCTACTGGTGAAATGTGCGCAAATCGCGTCATGTTCAAACAATTACTACAAGCAAAAGCAATTAGTTATTGTCAAATCGATTCGGCTAGGATAGGAGGAATTAACGAAATATTAGCTGTTTATTTCATGGCAAAGAAAATGAGAGGTAAGTTGGATAAATAGGATTTTCTGTTAGTGTGAACCAAATAGCTGCAACAATATTATCTTCTTCTAGTTCCCGTGTGTCCGCACGCTGGTGGAGTAGGTCTGTGTGAAATGGTTCAACACCTCCAAATGTGGGATTTCATTAGTTTGAACACGTCTACTGAAAATCGCGTGATCGAATTCGTCGACCAACAACACGAGCACTTCGAGCATCCTGTACGAGTTCTGAATGCTTGCTACATGCCACCCACTGCTCCAGGATATTCGACTAAATTCAAAGACGACTGCTTGGAAAAGTATACGTATCCGAACGGCGAACAATGGAAGTATATGTACGAAAAAGGACTCTTCCAAAGACCATCTGTCTAAAGTAAATTAAAAATTAATGTGAACTTATATTAAGCATACAATGCTTGTATTGATATAAATAAATCTTTTACAAAAGTAAGATTGATTGAACAAATTTGGATACACCAACTAATTATTAGGATATTAATAATTAAGCATTATTTATTTTTCTTCCAACAAAGTAGATATTGCAGCTAGTTAGTACTTAACTAGTTATAGTTCTCTAAAGTTGGCATTAACTGCACGACTGGAGGTGGGATTTTACATAGTCTGTCTGCAAAATGAAAAAGTTAGCGTTAGCAAAGTAATGTTAAATAAATAATTTCAAATGTTATAAGGTACATGGAATACATACACTCACAAACCAATACGAGTTAGGTCTGAACATAAACTTTCTAACAAAGGTCATGTCTTCTATGGGAGAAATAACATGTAAATGTAAATGATCCACTGTGTTAAATGGTGGCCAATGAAATCCTGTTCGTGTAGCTTCACGATCAAGACCTTGTTGCTCTATTATGATATCCACTGTAGACACAATTTTGTCATCTGAAAATTCCCATTGTTTTTAAGTTATACGCATAAGATATGAAAAATGAATACAAGAATTATTATTTTGTATTACTTACAAAGTTCGGCATCTTCTATTTTAAGTTCTTTTGCGTTACGTATATGTTTATTTGGCAGTATTAAATAGTGATGTGTGGAAGCTGGATTGATGTCCTTAATACACGTCACATAATCATCCTACAATAAACAATGACTTTAATTAGAAACTGATATCTACGTGTTTTATTAATTCTTCGTTACTTTGACAGGTGGGGTTAGATTTCTCGTACCTCGTAAATTTTTTCACCTGGTTCTTTATTTTCTATGATTTTGCAAAATATACAATTTTCCAAATGCGTTTCCATTTAGATGAGTTAACAATTACACTGTCATTCAATACAAAAATTGATCTCTCCGTATCTTTTACCTTGAACTTTGAAACATAAATTGCCTGACATTTCAATGAATATACAGGCTGTTTCAAAATGAGTAAATAGTTAATATTGATACAAAAGTACAATGAAATTTTTGTTTTTAAGAAATATTCCTATCAATTTTTTATCCAATCGATATTATATTATTTTGGAAATATTATAAATCCGTTTTCTTTTAAGTGATAATTGACTTCTTATTAATGCTTCAAATTTCGCGCTTTCTACAGTATAGCCATCTCACGGTGAGAAAGCCAAACTAAAATCCCGACCTCCGTACAGCGCTCCAGCGGGAAAACGCCCAAGTTTGTCCTCGAATAGTTCCTATTTTCACTGTTAGATGGTGGCATTTGTTTGTTTAAATAAAAAAAGGAGGGTTTAAGGTTTAAAAAACGATTCTCATTTGAATTTTTATATCAGAATGTTTGTTCACATATTTGTTATTATTAGATATAATAAAAAAAAACTATGAATATGACGGTCGGTAATTGAATAAATTAGAGGCGACATCTAGCATGAAAAGTGGAAACTATTATACGACAAACTTGAGTGTTTCCCCGCTAGAGGCCCTACCATAACTCGAAAAAATTAGTTCTCTGACCGCCGCTAGATGGCTATACTGTAGAATGTCACGAAAATGGGGATCAGCAACCCTTCAACCATATTACATGATCGAAGGGGCAATTTAATGAAAGGTCGAAAATTTACTTTTCTGGCAGCCGCTAGATGGCTATACTGTAGAATGGCGCGAAATTGGGGTTAATCATTTTTTTCGGACGAATTTATTAATAGTCGTTGAAGAAGGATATAAATGATAGAAATAACTAAATTGCCTTTCATAATTGCATTACTTTTTAATTTAAAATATATAAACTGTACATATATTTATAAGTGGTATATATTCATGTGTTTTTATATAATATGTGTGAGCATGATAAATTAATAGTTAATCTAACATATTTTTACATGTGGCAGTTGAGACGACCGAGAAAATGTTCCGTGTGTACAAGTAATTGATAAAATTTGCAGAGTCTCTGCGTATTTTTTCTAGTTTCGCCGGTTTACGTTTCCTAAATGGATTTCTTTCTACGTTCAATGTATCCTACTCAGTCATTTCTGAAAATATAAAAATGCAGCATCGTGTTCTCTATTCGAAGTATACAACAACACATCTTCCAATTTCGTTAAATGCGAAAACAGAACGAACGATAATAGTAACACTGTAATTTCGACGTATCGTAGAGCATCGATCATCCATTCTAGATATTACCTTATTCGTTTCATACGTTACAATGATACCGAACGTCACTTTCAGCATTACGTATTTAAATTTTGCAAACGTAGTTAATTTAATGGAATACAAATTCTTCGGGGTGTGCGTGCTTCGCGCTCGCGTGTATGCTTTTCTTTTCTAACCTAAACGTTCACAAATGTATAAATTCTTTACTTATATACGAAAAGCATTCGCTACGCCCTAATACGGATATACCAATTTCGATCGAGTTGCAAGTATAAAATAAAATAAAGCGCTGTCTCGCGAACGATCAACTTAAGAAGACGTAGAAAAGAAATGAGTACGGTTGTAAATCGAATTAAGTCACGAATCGATGGTTTTTTCATAAGTTAACCCTTCGAGTGCTACGAACGAGCATATACGTCATAAGATTTCGATCACTTACTTTAGACACAATTTCCCGTACGTTTTTATAATATTTACTAGGTTCAAGTATTTACATTCGTTTATTTCCAAGTTAAGATATATTTTACATTTTGATGTTTGTAATAAAGTAATGGATTAGAAAAAAAAAAAAATTTGGCAAGAGCATTTAGCACTCAAAGAGTTAAGGTGATAACATATCCATTCGTCGAATGTTTTATATCCTCGATTATCGGCCCGTAGGTGACTTACACGTTAAAGTAGGTTTACCGGGATTATCCCGACTGTACAGAGCGTTCTTTATAAATAATTCTTATAAATTACCATTAGTCTATGTTTCCGATTCAACATAAAAATCATACAATGTACACGTTTCCTGACGATAATCCACCTTTAATACTGCGAGTCCCCTCCCCCCTCCCATTCCCGCCCGCCCCACCCCAATTCCCTACCCACCCGTTAATGAATTCCTGAAAACATCGTTCAGTTAATTGTCCTCTAACAGGTTTGGTCGGTGGCTTTTCGTGGCTTCGTCTCGTTTTCGTATATCGCACCCGTTCAAAGAATCGGATCGAGACGCGACGAAAAAGAAAAACTCAACAATTAAGTTAACTTACATCTCTAATAGAGGGGTAAGTTTCAGCTGCCTTGGTACGTCATTTGATCCGGAACGGCGGACGAATGATTCTGATTTGGACTCTGGTGGAAATGTGAATTGCTTCCGTCTAGCGACAACGGGTCGTTACTAGGTTCTTCGTATTTCCCCCTCTTAAAACGTCCGTACAACGAAGAGTAGGGTAAATTATAGTGAATAGCTGCTTGATTGATGCTCATATGCCCTAATCTGAAACACGAAAACGAACGAAATCTATATCGTGGAGAAATCGACGAATCGACGAAAAAAGTAGATCGACCGCGGTGGCAGAAGCTTCAGACCTCCTAGAAAATAGGGCGTCCAAGAGCGTTGATCTTTTAATTTAATTCTCAGAAAACTGTAGCGGTCGATACACGTAAACTTCTAATTTTCCGCGTCACGTGGATACGTCTGGGCTCTGACGTTGCGAAAGGATTAAACGGATAAGCCCCCAGGTGTTAACGGCATGGATAAAACGGAAAACGTTTACCTGACGGCTTCGAGGGCTTCAGTCATGGCGTCCTCGCTCCACGGTGTAGGATTACTTCTGCTCAGTTCGATTCCTTCCCTCTTACATCTACCGTAGAGCGTTCCCGTAGGTATACCGAATTCCGTCGACGCCCTCTGCACGGATGTCTGACCGGACCTTATCGCTTCCAAAGCGCGATCTAAATCAGCCGGTGACCAAGTGGTAGGACTGGCGTTGAAAGGCGCGGCCAATCTAATGCCTTCCCTCCTCGCGATTTTGTACAACGTACTGGAAGGTATCCCGAACGCTTTGGAAGCCTTGTTCGCCGAGATCGTTCCAGTTCTCAACGCCTCGAGCGCGTTATTCAAACTCTCGTCGCTCCATGACTTTGTTGGTCCGTCTTTTTTTGGTGTGTCTATGCCTAATCGATGCGCTCTTTGCCAGAGCGTCGTCGAGGGTATACCAAACGTAGCTAAAACAAAACGGAGAAATACCATACAACACCGCGCAACGATGGATCAGCGGTTGGCGATGGTGGCCAGAGCGTGGCATAGAAGCGTAAGAGTTTAAGGGAAACGTTAATTACCGGAGGCTTTCGTGAGACTCATGTCGTGATTTCTCAAAGCTTCCAACGCGGCGTCCATGTCTTCTTGGGTCCACGACTTGGAGCCGTGGTGATGGGAACTGGATTGTCCGGAATGACCCCTTGAGTTATTTTCGCCGGAATCGGAGTGAACGGAACTTCCAGAGGGCATTAATCCGAGCAGCTCGGGCGTGATCATCATCATGTTGTCGCTGTCGGCTGCGTTCTTCGAGCTGACGCTCGCTCGATCGGACATGTGGCTGTCGATGTCAATGGTATCCGACGAATCCATCGTGTGCAACGTTTCGAACTTAATCTTCACACTGTCACAGGTTTGAATCTCTGCAAGCAAACCTGAATAAACGACAATTCTTCTAGTTCCATTTGTGTAGCAACGGTTGGTTATCGCGGAACGACGACGGCTACGATCGCGATGCTTTCGAATCTCTACCCGAGGCCACCTGGATTTCGCGAAAGAAGCGCCGCCGAAGGCAAAGCTGGATGCGTTGGACTAAATGAGGTTGCGTGGGCTGTTACGAACCGAGCAACGCAAATCTAATCGCGACTAGTTAAGCCCGATTAGACCAATTATTTTGATTCCTTCCCTGTCTAACGAACGGCTACACTTTTTTTTTTTACTCCCCTCCCGTAAAACACGCTTGTGCTGCAACAAACGACAATAGGAACACCGTTATTGTTCGGTTACAAGTGAGAAAATCGTCAGTGCGTTCGAAAGCGGGGTAGGTGGCGAGTTTCGATTCCGAACGCGACCAAGTCTCGCGTGTAACGTTCCACGAGACGTACATCGTAAGGTTGCAGGGTTACGATTGCAGCACTTTGTATGGAGTGATTCTTTTCTTTATATAATCGTATCTAGCATTTCACCTCGTTCTGTGTTTACAATTAAATTTTAGTAAACAGCAGAGTCTAAAGCCGGCGACTGACTTGCAACAGAACGCTGTAATGTAACTGCTCGGCACGAATTGTACGGTTTGGCACCAGCGTTACATTACAAGATCATTTTTGGAATCACGAATGCTCGCTTCGAACTCTCGGCTGAATTCTCTCCCGATGCTTCCTACTCGATTCAGTGAAAAGTAGACGATCAAAGAGGTTCGTCAAAAAACTGACAGACCAGTGGACCACGGTCGAGCGCGAACCGAGCGCAAGAGTCCGTACAGACTAAGCGAATGCTCGCGTTACATTACAATGTTCCGTTGCAGGTCAGTCGCCGGCTTAAGAGATTACCGTGATTGCGATCACAGAATAAAGATTGTATACTAAAAGAAACTGCACCTGTATGATGATCCGGATCCCTCAGATGGGTGATCGTAGTGCCGACTAACGTGGCGCTAGGTGGAGTCGGTTGGGTCTCTGGGGGCAGATCAACCTCCCCAGGATCCGGATGATGACCGTAATGGCCGAGTCCTGTATGACAAAACATGTCACCTTTTTATTTCAAGTGAAAAGAGTCTGTTCTGTCGTACCTCGAATTGGTAAACCGCCCCACACCCGGAACCCTTGGCACATTTGCGATTCCAACGAGCGTGCTTAGCATTTAACGTCGATTACTGCTAGCCCTTACGCCGCGTTGTACTTTCACGCTTTGCGAAATACTGTCCTCGGAATACAGAGAATCGCTAACGTTTCGACGAGAATAAAATGTGCAAGAATTCAGGTGTGGGGCGTCGATCACGATTAATCGACTTACCGTTGTTATTGTTATTCACCCCGTCACCGTTGTTGTTGTTGTTGTTATTATTGTTGTTGTTGTTGTTGTTGTTGTTACCGTTGCTGTTCCGCTGGCAAGTTTCCAATACTATTGCTGCTGTCGTTCCCTCCGTGCAATCTTCATCTTCGGCCGGCCAGTCTCTGTGGTTCTGCGAAATATCCGGTACGAATTTAGCGACGACCGTGACGAGATCGTGCCACCGTTCGCTGGACGGCTGTCACGTTCTCGTGCTTTCACCCCCGCCCTTGCAAATTATTTTTCACCTTTTTCTCCATCGTGCCTTCGAGATTTTCACGCGTGTCATTTACAGTTTCCATACTTTTCTTACCTCTTTGTCCTCCCGATTGTAATTCTCGTTCGATTCCTCCTCTTTGTATCTGTCGTAGTGTCTGGAGTCCGTCGCGCGAGGTTCGAACGTGGTTCTGGCTCTCTTGTATTTCGGATGATGCCTTTTTAGCTTGGTGAAATTTATCCTAGGCGTGCCGGGTTCTCTTGGTGGCGAGCTCAGGCTGACCGACGGTGGACCGTCTCTGCTTTCCGGCACCTCGCAGAGGCCCTTGATCTTCAGCTGATCGGCCGTTTTCAACAGCGACTGAAACACAAAGGATCGATGGAGGTTAACGAGTTTTATTCGTTCCGACTTGAAATTTTATGGCGGTATTCGAACATGTAGAAGTTTTGGTTTTTTGAAGAGAACGCTGGCTTTAGGCTGCAGTCGATGGGCAAAATGGAATTTTTTTTTTAAGGACTCAAGCATAGCTAAGAAATATCAGTTAACTTTCACTGGGAAAGGGCTCGCTCGTAGCGTTCTCAATAGCAATTGACGCACCGTAAACCCGCAAGCAGTGCGAAAGGGACGACGAAGCATGGGCGAGTTCCTTCTTTCGACAAGGGACTCTTGTGCAACATTCCTGCCCAACGTTGGAAACCGCCCTAAATTGCAATTGGGATTTTGTCTACCTCCATCAACTCATTCGGACCTTCAAGTATCTCCTGAACGAAAAACTAAAATAACCTCCAGAAAATTCCCCCATGATTATTTATAAAACTTTCGTTTACCCTGTATTTTGTTTATTCCCATCGTTTCGGAGATATTTCATGGGACAAAACCCATACCAGCGAAAAATAACTCCGCGTTACGGACAAGCAACTCCATTTGCGTGCAATGTTTAAAATATTCCGAATTCTCGGATCCGTGGACATCTCTTGTTAGTTTTTCAAAATAAATTTTGTTCATCCCACGAACCGGAAGGACGCGCAACTCGAAATATTGGGTTGTCTGGAAAGTCCGTGCCGATTTTTAGTAGGCGGTACAGGTCTGAACATATCGGAATGGTTGAAAACAAATAACATGTGGACATCCTTTAAAAGGTGAAAAAATTGTGAAACAAAATGGTACATGTACATATAATTCAATAAATATATATCGAAATTCAAACACGTATTTGAATGTTTCTTAAAAATTGGCACCAACTTTCTGGACAACCTAATACGAATATCGTATCCTAAATTCTGACCTCTCGTTGTTCGTATCTCGAATACATTGTGTTTTTAAGTAAGATTTATCAAGATTTATCTGTGGAAGCTAACAACCGCGTTGGCACGGTCGTTCGCGTTTGAAATTCCACGATTGTTCAACGCAGCATGCGGTTCATCCAGAGAGCATCGGAATCGTGATCTTCTCGGCACAACTAGATATTCGTCTAGCGAGCATGTTGGCAGCAACGCATTTTGAGGGTGTTTTGAATGGTTGGCCGGTTTCAGATAGCCCGACGCTACTTCGTTTTCTAAAGGTTTATGGCTGACTCAAGGATTGAATAGGTTCGCGATACAAGCCGTGCACTCTCACAGCTGGGCGTTGAACTGATGGCTGGCGACTCACCGTCGTGTGGTTATTGTGTGTTGGATGATATTTAGGAAACGTAAGAGTTTGGAAAGATGGCTCTATCGTAGAGATTACGGCTGGCGATGTTCGAAGGATTCCGAGGATAGCGAAGGTAGCGAGGTTTAAGAAGTGTCGCCGAGAACACGGAAGCTAGAATGACTTTGGGGTTCGTAGGGCACGGGTGTCCCCAGGCATGACTGACGCAGCGTTTGCGACTAGAGCATTACAAAATAATGAGAAATTCTAACAAGCAGTTGGAATTCCCACACGGTGGGACGAACAATTATCAAAGCATTCGTTGAGAACTGCGGCCATTTGAGGCGGTCGAATACGTAGGGCGTCGGTATAACGTGGACAAGACCAAATACGGAATAAAGTCATTTCGGTAAACCGCTTTCTGAGAGGAACGAGAAGGGACTAGCAGGGGCCGGCGGATTTGCATATTCCTGGTAAAACCTCGTCATCCTTACGCCCCATTCCAACGGATACAATTTCATCTCGCAGTTGCCGTCTGGCCGCGGCTCTGGTCTAAAATCAGTTTTCGCGATCCAGTTTCGGCGTGCAGCGATTCATCGGCACAGTGCGTCGACCCGCGTCGAGCGGCGGCGACGTCCTCCCCGAGACTACGACATCCATCCCAGGCCCCCCTCCGCTCCTTTCTGTGATCTTAACCTTGAAAGCGGCGCGCAAAGGAAACTAGCGAAGGAAAAGAAACGTAAAGGAGAACGAGCGCGGCGTACGGTAAAGAAAAGCGAAGAGAATCCGAGTTTACGGTTCCGTGGACCGGAAGAAGCACGCGGAGGGATGGAGAAAATGAGAAGAGAAGACGACTTCCGCGTGAGATAGCGGACGGCTCTCCGACGGAATTTTCGTGGCGCCTGGGACGGATTGGGAAAAGGAAAGATCAGTCCTGGAAGGGATTGCGACGCTTTGGTTAGCCTTTGTCCAGTCTGGGACTTGATAAAATATTCGTATTCCTCTTATGGTATAGACGAGAAGACGAACGATGAATCCTGAGAGGAATTCCACTGGGTCTAACGTTGTAGGCCATATGCAAAGATGGGGTAATTCTGAAGGGGCAGTCTCCTTTGCAATGAAAAGTTACTCGACCTGGCCGTATTTCCTTTACTTACGACGTGGGTGACAGGAGGAGAGATCGATTCTAGAAAAATGACTCGTCGTTGTAGTACGTTCTCGTCAACCTGGGACTGATTTTTCTTTCGGCCGTCCATATTCGAATGGCGTAAATAGTGACAGGAAACGAGAGAAACCGGAGTAGAATGGATAGAGGGAGAATCGAGGGAAAATGGAAAGAAAACCGATAGAGGGTAGACGAAACGAGAGAAACAGAAGGTAGAGGAGACGAAGAGAGAAAGAAAGAGGAGCGAACGATCGAGAGCGAGGGCCGCATTGAAGTTGAGGCTCTCTGTTCTTTAATCAAGGCAGGGGTGGTGCGATTAGGCGGGGTCGGCAAGGGGACAGGCGGTACGAGAGCGTCGGTGGCGGCGGCGGCGGCGGCGGCGGCGGCAACGGCTCGGCTAGGAGGGAGGGGGCCGAGGAAGCAGAGGAAGAGTTAGGCGATGGAAGCAGAGGTTCAGGTGGGGGGTTTAGGCAGGCTGCACCGGGGGTGTCGGTGGCGGCTGGAAAGCGGGCGTGGGTGGAAAACTGGGTGGCGGTGGGTAGGACTAGGTTCACAGGGGTATGGCTGGAAGAGAAGAAGAGAGTTACAACGACAGAAAGGGAGAGAATCTGACTGAGCTAGCGATTGAGTGAGCAGCTGAGGGAGACGGGGGCGGAGGGGAAAGAGAGCAAGTGAGAGAGAGAGAGAGAGAGGCAGAGAGGCAAAAACGCCCGCAGGAAGAATGGGGAGGCCTCCGACGCGGCTGTCGCGGCCCCAGGGCCGTATCGACCACCCCCAACCCCCGATTCTCTCTACGGCACTCGCGACGGCACCGACACCGATGACTTCCAACCGTTTCCACGCACACATCCTGTCTCTCTGTTGCTCTATCCGTCTCTCTTCACCCCTCCACTCTGCTCTACCTCTCCTCGTCTCTCCTTGTCTCTTTCACACGCTTCCTCTCACCCGACGGCTGCGAACGGATACGTATAACCGCGTTGAAATGTCCGCGAATCTTCGAGCCCGACAATCCGTGAGTTCCGTGGTATTGGTCGAAGCAGGGTGATCGAACTTCCATGTCGGACGTGCACGCCGCGACGACAACGTCGGCGTAACGATGCTAACAGGAGTAATTGGGACTACCCTGTCGTTGCACGATTTTCCACACATTTTCCAAGATCGTGTTTCGGTTCCGATCGACGTATCCCAGGGGCCACGGTGATTCTTGCCGTCTAAAGAGGAGATCGTCAGTCCCGACACCGATCGAAAAAGATGAGCCATTTCGATCGGTGCCGAAGTTGACGATCATCTCCCGATGGGACGAGAATCACCGTGTCCATACGATTCGCGATACCAACGAGTTTAGGGGGTCGGTTGTTAAGCGGCCTCTGCGGGAACTCTTCCGCTACTGCAACTGCTTTCCCTTAAAGGTCCGTTTTCACGTTTTTAACGTGACATCGAATGTCAAGCGAACACGGACCTTAGAATGAACGAAGACGGATCCTAGAATTAACGATACGTCGTCGTCAGGAGGGTATTCGAGAACACCTCGAATCGGTTAGAACTGTCTCCTTTGGGACATCGAGATATCGTTTGGCGGTTTGCGAGCGCTGAATGGTGCTCTTCCGCAAAATGGCTTTTCGCGGTTCAATTAAACGAAAGAAGGTACGAAGACGCGCGATACTTGAACGATACGACGTCGACGTCGACGTCGACGACGACGACGACGGGACTTGGAGAACCACGGACGCTAGGCAATGGGTTGGTAGGGTAGTGCGGGTGTTGGTGCAGGGGTTAGAGAGCGGGAGGGTAGTTGGTTGGTTCGGCGGTGGATGCATAGGGGTGGTGCCATCGGTTCGGAGGCAAGAGGGAAAGCCACCGGCAGAATCCAACCTCACCAATCAATACTTAGGGTTCAAGGGCATCGCCCGACCAATTATCCCAGACTAATTGACGCGAGACGAGAGAAAAAATTCTACCCCCCCTTGGTGGCTACTTCCGATCCGTGTCTTCTGCAGACAACGTTCGCGAAATAATGTAGAAACGTGGTGTTCGGAAGTCGCCGTCCAGATCACGGGCGGGAAATATCGAGCATGATGGGAACTACTTTCGTCGGAGGAGCAGCCGATTTATTTAGATATCGCATCGAACGTCCACTTTGAGAAGCATCGGGAGGCAAACAACCTACGATTCGTCCCGAAGGAATCGAATCGCAAGGATAATGGGGAACCGAGAGACCGGGGGACAAACGCGATTCTCGAAGGCGGGAAAAAGCGACAGAGAGGGAGAGATAAAGAGTAGAAGCGAACGGGGTAGAGGGGGTGGAATCGTTGAAAGATCTTCCCATCGAGACAGAACACGACGTTGGGTGGAGTTCTTTCGCAGGAAGAAATAAGGGGGCGATAGAACGAGAAGTCCAACAGGTGTAAATCCGCAAAAAGATCGACCGTGGAAACGTTTCACGAGAACAGGAAGGACGCGAAGGGGTGGCTCGGGGTTGGTCTCCGTGAGACCGTACCAGGAGACGGTGTAAGGTACATTATACAGACACATCGGTAGGAAGAGACCCAGGAGGCGCAGGAAGAAG